TGGAATTCCAATGTCCATGTGTAAGACAGAGAATGAAGAAAGAAAACAACGTCTTAGCATGACTGCAAATTTAGTTTTGACGCCATGGATGCTGCTGAAAGGGTCTTGGGACCTTGGCCCACACTTTGAGGACAGTGGACCTACACCATACTCTCACCTCCCTCCTCCCTGGCTCTTCACTTGCCTGAAATACTTGGAAATGCTACCAACTTTTCCATGATCTGAGACTAATCTATTAACTCTGTGCTGAAGAAGATTCAGATTTCACTCAGGAAACCTGACTGCGTCTCTATCAAGGTAATTTGCTTCATATCCCTGAGTCTTGGTTTTCTCAGCTGTAAAAGAAGGCAGCTAGATGAGATGAGGAGCTTTCCCAGCTGAGGGCTATAGACGCCTGGGGGTTGCCCGAGTTACTGAAAGGAATTCCAGATATCCTGTAACTATTGTCTGAACTGGACCCAGCACATTGTTCTCACACATTCATACTGCAGAACTTAAATGTATGTAGACATCAGCTGCTTTCATTATGCTCATTACCACAATCAAAAAGTTATGAGCTTTATTTATCCCATTATATCTATATACTCAAAATTCAACTGCTAACAATCAGATAGCTATAACATTTTTAACACTTTAGTGGCCTTTAGGCCAGAAAATGGGTCCTCTTGGAGAAACTCTGTGGTGTATTTTTCCAACTATGGTCCAAGAAAATTTTACTATCTTATTCTGGTTCTATCACAAAAATATTGTGGCAGACTGCATTTTAAGAGATGGCTGCCAGCTGGCGCCGCAGCTCACTAGGCTAATCCTCCGCCTTGCGGCGCCGGCACACCGGGTTCTAGCCTTGGTCGGGGCGCTGGATTCTGTACCGGTTGCCCCTCTTCCAGGCCAGCCCTCTGCTGTGGCCCGGAAGTGCAGTGGAGGATGGCCCAAGTCCTTGGGCCCTGCACCCCATGGGAGACCAGGATAAGTACCTGGCTCCTGCCATCGGATCAGCGCGGTGTGCCAGTCACAGTGTGCTGGCTGCGGCAGCCATTGGAGGGTGAACCAATGGCAAAAGGAAGACCTTTCTCTGTGTGTGTGTCTCTCTCTCTCACTGTCCACTCTGTCAAAAAAAAAAAAAAAAAAAAAAAAGATGGCTGCCACAAGGTTCACTGTCTGCAAGGTTCTCTACAATGTGACTTTGCCACACCCCCGTCAAGATGTGATATCTAACTGCCTCTCCTAGGATCTGGGCTGGCCTCACACCTCACCAGAACCCACAGAATGCAGCGGGAGCGATGACACATGACTCCCAAGGCTAGATCTGGAAAGGCCATGGGGTTTCTACCCAGTTTTCTTGCTGTTCTCTTTCTGGGAGAAGTCGGCCACCCTACAAGAGGTGTGACAACACTAGAGTAACTCTGGTTAACTGTGTTAGCTGGGTCCAGCCTTTGAACCATCCCATGTTTCAGGCATGTAACTAAAGATAGCATGGAGCCTCCAGACAGGCTCACCCACCAGCTGAGTACCACTAGGTGACTTCAATCAATATCAAAATGAGCAGAAGCCCTGCCCAGTAGAGCCCTGACTGAATTTCTGACCCTCAACATCATTCAGTGTAATAAAATAGTTATCAATTTAAGTTGCTACTTTGGCCTCAGAATCATGCCTTAAGGCATTCAGATCTGGCTAAAAAGCCCAGGAGAGTTTCTTAGGCATGGAAAGCCAAGAATGACCTAAATGAAAGATCTCTGTGAGTGAGATCTCAGCTGAAAGAATGGGCCATCAAAGAAGGAAGTACCTTTCTCTGAAGGGAGGAGAGAACTTCCACTTTGATTATGGCCTTGTCTAAATAAGGTTGGAGTTGGTGAACTCAAGAGGCTTCCATAGCCTTGGCAACTCATGACAAGAGCCTCGGGTGATTACTGACGCCATAAGTAAGAGTGTCAATTGTTAAATAAACAATGGGAGTCACTGTGCACCTACTCCCCATGTAGGATCTCTGTCCTTAATGTGTTGTACTATGCGAATTAATGGTAAAACTAGTATTCAAACAGTACTTTGTGTGTCTGTGGGTGCAAACTGTTGAAATCTTTATTTAGTATATACTAAGTTGATCTTCTATGTATAAAGATAATTAAAAATGAATCTTAATGAAGAATGGGATGGGAGAGGGAGTAGGAGATAGGATGGTTTGTGGGTGGGAGTGAGGTTATGGGGGGAAAAAGCCACTGTAATCCAAAAGTTGTACTTTGGAAATTTATATTTATTAAATAAAAGAAAAACATAAAAATAATAAAAAAAAACAAAAGACAAAAAAATTTAAGTTGCTAGGTTTTGAGGTGGATTGTAACCTGGCTGGCTGAAGGGTTGTGTCACTGGGTAAGTGGTGAAACCATGCTGTGCCTTGGCTTCCTGAAGAGTTTGTGAGAAATTATTTTCATGGTATCATATTGTTCTTTGACCTTACGACTCTTCCTAATCTGACAATACTCACTTTCCAGTACAAGCTGAGGCAAGGGCCTCTGCTTAGTTATCTAGATTACTAAAGAGCCTGCACAAGACACAGATAACATTATGAAGGCACTGGGATCTACAGTGCTGGGCAATGAAGCTCAATGATGACCAGTGCCCTAGATGATCAGTGCAGCCACTGATTGGAATGACCATATAGAACCACAGTAAGTACTGCAGGGAGCTGTTTCAGTTCTGTGAGCTAGTGCTCATTTGAAGGAAGGAGAACTGCCCAAACACCTTACAGCATGGTCCACTAACAAGTCCCTATGTCCCCCTGCACTGGAACATATGTTAGGTATAGGTGCTTGTGAGACTACCAATTGGGAAGAAATCATTATGAGACTTTAAATGAGTAGCTTAAAACTGCTACAGGCTGACCCAATGGCTTATAATGGTACCAGGGAAGATGCTGTGGTTTTGTGAGTTCTTTAACATGGGAAGATGATAGAAGAGAAGCAGTATTACATTCATAAAGAGGTGAGGGCTAAAAGCTCACTCTCTTGGACATCAACTGCAATGCACCCACCTCACACTAACATCAAAAAGTCACAGTTTACAAAGGTTTCACACAATCTACCAATAACATCAAGAAATACAATGTGATTTGCTCATAAGGATAAAGGCTTTCTGGGTATCCCCAGGCAGAATGGATTACCCTCACCAGGATGCTCTGAATCCTTTAGCATATCTCACATGGCTATCGCATTATTATATTGTTTGGTTCTTAAATTTACATGTCACTTCAATGATGAATTCCACCTCTGAGCTTCATTGCCCCAGTACTGTAGATCCCAGTGCCTTCATAATGTATCTGTGTCTTGTGCAGGCTCCTTAGTAATCTAGATAACTAAGCAGAGGTCCTTGCCTCAGCTTGTACTGAAAAGTGAGTATTGTAGTGCAATATCTTTTTTTGTTTTGTAATGTGCTTTCTGCAATACCTTGTACATAACAAACACCCAACAAAGTTTGATACATGAATAAGAAATGAGTGAAAAAATGAGCAAATAAACGAGTGAGAAAGATGAATTAATGCATCCATGGGCAATATTTTTTTCTAGATAAGGAGTGAATGAAATATATAGGGATATAAACTTCTCAAGACCTTAAACAGTTGCTTGAGACATAGCTTTCCCAATTTTAGCCTAATGCTCATTAGTCATTGAAGAAGTGAAGTTGCATCCCCAAATACCCAAATTTCTAGTTTTACTCTAGGAAAATAGAGTCCTACACAAATACATTTATTGATGTGATTTTTTAAACTCAGAATATTGTTGGAAGGAAATCATCAAAGTCATAAACTGAAGTTGGGTAGGACACCACCCCCCTTTTTAAGGTATGGAGACTGAAGAACTTTTTCTGTATGTAGACACCAAACAGAGCCTGTGATTCGGCAGAAATTGTAAGGTAAAATAGAAAGAGTTATAGATGGAAGTTACATTGACACTTACTAGCAGTTTTACCACTTACTTTTTTTTTGATTTTTTTTTTTGCTTTCAAACTGTTATTTAATGAATATAAATTTCCAAAGTACAACTTATGGATTACAATGGCTTCCCCCCCATAACGTCCCTCCCATACCACTTACTAACAGTGGATGGTGGCCATGACAATGTGCCTTGCAGACTTCTAACTACAGAGAGTGTAACGGACCAACAGCCTTGGCATGCATGCTCTTAAATTCATTCCTGCATTTACACCCAGGCCAAGCTTCCTACAGGTTGATACCAGCTAGTGATGGAGTACACAGGGAACATTAAGACCTGCCCTTTCCTGGGAGACACGGGACTTCCCCATGACTGATTGTGGCTCCAGGACTCCCTGACTGCCTTGCTGAGCACCCCTCAGACGGTGTGGCTTTCCAGAGGACTTCCACCACCCCTCACGCCCTCTCTTCACACATGGTGGTCTGTTGGCTTTTCCAGACTTCTCCCTAATGTTCCCTTTGTAGCTATTTCTCCTAATAAAAGCATTGCATATTTAAGCTTGTCTTAGTAGATAATCAGAGGACCTGGACTAATAGTTGCAGTGATATTAGACAAGTTACTTCATCTTAGAATCTCTTTCCTCATCTGCAAAAGCATTAATAATACTTGTTACATGGGAGTTGTATAGATGACTAAATGTGGTAATTCATGAAAAGCCCTTAACTCTGTACGTGGCAAATATAGTTGCTTAATTTTCCTCCCTTTCCCATTTTCTCTTTCCCCTTTATGTGCCCCTAACAAATGAGTTCAATCATATTTTCCTTTGCACATCTGGCCTGTGGCATTTGGAAACAAATGAAGTCTTAGTGTAATAAAACCATCTTGTTTTAAACCAGTCTCTTGCCTTCCCATTAAGTGCTTCTCAATGTGGGAAGGCCTTACTCCGCACACCTCTCTGAAATCTTCGATGGTTTAATAATGTGGTTTGAAAGGGAAAAATAGCTACGGGGGGAATCTGATTAAATTGTGTGTGCTAGCTTTATTACTTCTTTCAACAACGTTAATACCAAACACTACCTTGTCATCCAATTTCCGTGCACTGAATGCAAGTTCAACGTAGTCATCATTGCCAGATAATTCTTCTGCAATCACCTAAAGGAAAAGGTACAGATTAGCTACGTTTGTAGAGGGTGGACCTCTTATCCCAAGAACCCATGAACAAATCTAGCTCACATTTTGTCAGAAAATTCATTAAGACAGAGGTTTCAGTAGGGAGTTTTTCCATAGGGAACATTTTCATGATCCTGTTGAACATGGCACAGCCTTTCCAGGTACCCAAGAGAACCCCCTGGAATCTACAATGGTAGATGACTGGATTTTATTTATGCTGAGCAGGAGAATAAGATGGATGGGGCTCGAACTGAGGAACAGATTGGAAGCAGAAATTCAGATGAGTATCTCTCTTTACAGATCACAAGGCATTGGGTGGTACTTTCATAAGTAATTATAAATTGTTTCTTCCTTTGGAAAGTTACTAATCAGGAAAACCAGCACTATATCTCTACTGTTTTGAGTCAGACTAGCAAGGGGTGAGTGACTATACTAGTCTGTCCTAGTACTAGACCATGGTGTATGCTCATCAAGGAGATGTCACGTTCCAATATTTAATAGTCATTGACTCTCAAAACTTTCCGGCCAGAATTGGTAGAAAAAAATCCGTAGAAAAATAATTAAAAAAGCAACATCTGGTTGCATAAAGGTTGAGACATTTGTAAATAATGTCAGGATTTCATAGGCATTTAGGGACCACAGTACATGGGTACATTTATCAACCTGGTTGAAATACTGAGATTTCATTCAATTTATATGAATTCTGAGCTCAACTTTTCCATTATGAGTTGGTTTCATATGACCTAAATAATCATTAGTATTGGAAAACTGAAGTTATTTCATCAGATATTAATGCCAAGACAGTTGTTTATAGAGGGATAGACTGGGAGAGTATGAGCATCTGGGAGGAAGAGATACGCGTCCAGGTATACAAGAAAATCTCAAGAACTTCTTGATAACTCAGGAGCCATCATATTATATTTTTCGTTCCAATTTTAGTATATGTGCTGCCAAAGCAAGCACATTATCATATTTATATTTTTAATGAGGTTTTCTAATCACCTGAATGCCTCTTTTTCTTAAAAAAAAAAAAAAGTTTATTTACTTAAAATGCAGAGTTATGGCGGGGGTGGGGGGGGGAGACAGTGGGAGAGATCTTCAATCTGCTGGTTCACTCCCCAAATGGCCACAATGCCTGGAACTGAGCCAGACTGAAACCAGAAGCCAGAAAGGAGCTTCATCCAGTTTCAAGCATTTGGACCAACCTCCACTGCTTCCCCAGGCCATGAGCAGCTGGGACTCAAACCAGTGCCCGTACGGGACACTTTCATGGCAGAAGGCGGCTTCACCTGCTATACCCACAATGCTACCCCTGAATGCCTCTTACCCTCTGTTTGAGAAATGGTCCTTAATTATTTCATGGTCACAGACAACTCTGAAAAGCTGATGAAAGTTATGACCTTCTCTATCTGCAGAACCTAGACAAATTTATATATACACTTTCCAGCTGTTTCTTGGGAGCAACTGAAGCCAAGGTTTAGATCTGAGGACCCAGGATTAAGAAGAGCATTTCAATGTTTAAAATTAAGAAAATGAAAATTTTCTGGAATATGTGGAGGAAGAATGTTTCCAAGATACTATAGAGAAGTTTAGGTTCTCTCAGGAAAGAGCCATGGCAAGTTTCATACCTGGGACACAGGGTCTGTGAGCTTTAAGAGTGAGCCCATGGCCCCTTGTTTTTCATAGCACTAGGGAAGGTCTTCAAAGACCACTCAAGTGAAGATGCTTTAAGACAATGCCATTTACAATATCCGAGCAACAAACTCAGGTAACTCTTGTAAGAAAGGCCACAGTGTTCACCCCTGGGAACCCCTTTGGATTTTTTCCTCTAAAAAATACTTTCTTTTCAAATGAACCAGACATTCTCAAGTTATAAAGGAGTGTTCAGAGTGAAATTGTCCAGCTTATTTATAATTTTTTAAGGTTTATTTATTTGAAAGTCAGATTACACAGAGAGAGAAGGAGAGGCAGAGAGAGAGAGAGGTCTTCCATCTGCTGGTTCACTCCCAATTGACCGCAACGGCCGGAGCTGTGCTGATCCAAAGCCAGGAGTCAGGAAATTCTTCTGGGTCTCTCACGTGGGTGCAGGGGCCCAAGGATTTGGGATATCTTCTACTGCTTTCTCAGGCCTTAGCAGAGAGCTGGATAGGAAGTGGCACAGCTGGGGCTTGAACCAGCACCCATATGGGATGCTGGCACTGCAGGCAGCAGCCTCACCTGCTATGCCACAGTGCCGGCCTCATATTAATAATTTTAATATTGATATTTTGAGAGTTCTTGCTGTCTATTCAGATAAGAATTCTGGATATCAGCTCAAATAAATCAGGCGACATGGTAAGTTTTTAACATTTATTCAGTGAAACATATACACAGGAAAATTAGGGCTCTATTTAGTTGAGCAAGAAGTCTAGAAGCACAAGCTCGATCCATACCAGGCAGAGAGCAGGCTGGGAGCCACCTGGAGCAAAGTCTGTGATTAGGAGCAGCCACAGGTAGCTCAGCATGGGCCGGAAAGCAGAGGCAGAGAGCAAGCCTTGGGCACTCCAGGAGTCTTGGGCACCCCACACCTTTTATCTGCTTCCTAAAGGGGAGTTGCTATGAACAGGTAAAACCAGGTAAGGGCATGAGATCATGAAAGGGGCAGGGCAGAAGCGTGGTTGACAGCCCACAAATCTAATCAGTTTAATCCTATCTGCCTGCCTATCTCAGCAGGAAATCAGATTTGCCTCCCTAGCAATTGAGATTCTCCTAGTACTTCCCCCTACTTCCTCTCTGGCCCTTGCTTTCTTTCCTTTCCTCATTCTTTTTTTTTTTTTTTTTTTTTTTTGGTCTGCACAGCTAAATGGTTGGGTCACTTTTTCTGCCTTTCTCAAGGACTCTAATACAAGATCAAAGTATCAAATACTGGGAGTTCTATTTGAAAATTTGGGCTCTTATTTAGAAATATTTCCCATTGCCCAAAAGAACATTCTTCCATGATAGAAATGCCCTGCACACTACACTGTCCTATATAGTCCTATATAGTCACATGTAGCTATTGATCACTGGATATGAGGCTAGTGGCTACTGAATCAGACAACAAAGCTACAAACTAATACACTAAAGAGGAGTCTTAAATGCTGGGCTCTCTGGTCCTTAGGCAATGAACTAAGCCTTGGACTAAATGTTATTAAAGCAAAGGTTTAATTCTTGGGGGGAAAGGTTCCTCAGCAATACTTCTTTGTCTTTTAAATAATAGCCAATCTAACTGGAATGAGGTGATATTTCCTTGTGGTTTTCATATGCATTTAACTGATAACTGATGTTGAACAGTTTCTCAGGCCTCTGTTGGCCACTTGTGTGCCTTCCTTTGAGAAAGGATCTATTCTCATTTTTAATTGGATTATAATAATGGTTTTTTTTGCTATTGTTTTAGTTTCTTATATATTCTAGATATCAACTGCTTACCAGATGTAAAGCCTATAAATCTCTCCCATTCTGTAGGTTATCTTAATCTGTTGACTGTTTCCTTTGCCACATAGAATCTTTGTAAGTCATTGATGGGAATGTAAATTAATACACCCATTGTGAAAAATAGCATGGGAGTTCCATAAAAAGCTAAAACTAGAGCTATCATATGCTCTAACAATCCTAATACTGGGTATATATCCAAGGGAAATAAAATCAGTCAGTTGAAGAGACACCTGTATTTGCATGTTCATAATAGCCAAAAAATTGAAACAAATGCTCATCTATTGATGAATGGACAAAGAAAATGTTGCATATACACATGATAGAATGCTACTCATTCACAAAAGGATGAATTCTTATCATTCCCAATGACATGGGTGAAACTGGAGGTCACTATGTTAAATAAAGTAAACCAAGCACAGAAAGGCTTCCAGTGCCCGGTGACCTCACTCACATTCAGAAGCCAAAATAAAAAATCAATGATCTCATAGAAGTCAAAAGTACAATGGTAGTTATCAGAGGCTTGGGAGGGAGGAAGGGTAAGGAAGGAAATCTGATAAATGGGTACTAAGTTACAGCTAAGTAGAAGAAGTGTAAGAAGTTCTGGAGTTCTGTTGCACAGTAGGGTAACTAGAGATGATGCTAATGTACGGTATATTTTCAAAAAACTAGAAGATAAGATTTTGGATATTTTCTACCATAAAGAAATGTTAAAAGGTTGAAGAGATAAATATATTTACCTTGATTGTACATTATATACAATGTATACATGTATTAAAACATCACATGGTACTCTGGGGTGAGCATTGTGGCGTAGCAGATAAAGCCACTGCTTGAGAAGCTGGCACCCATATGGGTGCCTGTTCAAGTCTCAATTGTTCCACTTCCAATCCAGCTCCCTTCTAATGGCCTGGGAGAGGCAATGGAAGATGGCCCAAGTACTTGGGTCTCCGTCACCCAAATGGGAGACCCAGATGAAACTCCCGGCTCCTGGCTTCAGCCTGGTCTAACTTCAGATGTTGCAGCCATCTGGGGAATGAACCAGCAGATTGAAGATCTCTTTCTGTCTCTCCCTCTTTCTGTAACTCTGATTTTCAATAAATAAAATAAATCTTTTAAAAAAATCACATGGTACTGCATTAATGTGTATAATTTTTCTTTTCTTTTCTTTTTAATTTTTTGACAGGCAGAGTGGACAGTGAGAGAAACAGAGAGAAAGGTCTTCCTTTGCCGTTGGTTCACCCTCCAATGGCTGCCGTGGCCGGCCAACAATTTTTCTACATCAAATTTTTTTGAGAGAAATAGCTTTGTTGATCTGAAAGCTCTAGACAATTCTGTATTCTTCCTCTTCTCAATAGTTGTATCTTTCTCCCTATTTGCAGAAATGTTTAGTAGAAGTAAGCAACTTCCTCTTCAAATCTTTTTCTTTCCTGTTTTTTTTCCAAGAGTACAAAGATCAAAACTGTATTGTCAGGGCCGGCGCCGCGGCTCACTAGGCTAATCCTCCGCCTTGCGGCGCCGGCACACCGGGTTCTAGTCCCGGTCGGGGCACCGGATTCTGTCCTGGTTGCCCCTCTTCCAGGTCAGCTCTCTGCTGTGGCCCGGGAGTGCAGTGGAGGATGGCCCAAGTCCTTGGGCCCTGCACCCCATGGGAGACCAGGAGAAGTACCTGGCTCCTGCCTTTGGATCAGCATGGTGCGCCAGCCGCAGCGTGCCGGCCGCGGCGGCCATTGGAGGGTGAACCAACGGCAAAGGAAGACCTTTCTCTCTCTCTCTCTCTCTCTCACTGTCCACTCTGCCTGTCAAACAAACAAACAAACAAACAAAAAAAAAAACAAAAAAAACCCTGTATTATCAGGACATAGAAAGAGGAGAAAAAGAAAGAGGAATATTCTTGGAACATTCAGCACTTGTGGCATCAACTCCCAACTCTTCCCAGGTGTCTGACCTGGACCATCCGGTCTGTTCAGGCAGCACTTCTGGGCTTACCGTGATAGAGGACTTTCCTGCTGTGTTCCCATGTTTCAGCAAGGATTTGGACAGCTTTCTCTGGGAGACAATCTGTACAAAAGAAACAAAACATGGAGATACTAATCATATAACTGTATGTCAAGTTTTAAGCTTTTTCCCTCTACAAAATTATGCATTCATAGCTCTACTTAAAACTTGTTAATTATGACAGCAGCTATGTCCATTGACAGTTTAAGGTTTGCCTGTAGGCTTCTGTTGATACAGATCATTTCTCCTTTTCTTTCCTATAACAACATGTGATATAAGAGAGTGAGTAAGAAACTACACATAATTTAGTCAATCAGGAGGTGGATTCATTGCTGAGGCATTTATATCAAAATCAGATGGGTACTGTTAAATGTGCATACATTAAGATAAAGCATATGAAGCTTCCGAATGATCTCACATTAGCACTAAACCTCTATGCCAGTGGAGGGTGCGATGCAGGGAAGGAAAGAAACCAAGGTCCAAATTTGCAACTTTTGTGTCTATAACCACTAGAGTTCTATTTTTAACACATCCATTAGGAAGCTATAAAGTAAGTCATCAAGAAGCTGATGCCCAGACAAGCCAATAGGATTAACTGGGGTCTTTTCCACAATTTGGTATCAATGCTTACATGCATTGACAACTAAAATCATCATCATATTGGGAGCTATTCTTAGCTGCTCCATTCTCTACTTCCTCTCTTTTTTCTTTTTTGGAAGAGAAATTTTAGAAGATAATGATGGGTACAGAACCCATGATTCTTGCAAGAGAAAAGAATTAAACGAATCAAATTAATGTCATGCTCATCATAGTTTGGGAGGACACATCACCAATGATAGACAGCTTCTACACAGGACAGTCCCAGTGATCTTGGCTTCCTGAACTCAACTATTGTACAATCCCCTCCCCCTTGAGTGTGGGATGGACTTTGTGATATACCTCAAATGGGCAAAAATTATGGGATATTGCCTCTGAAATTAGATTACACAATGACTGTGACCTCTCTCTTGCTCATAGCCTCTCACTCTCTTTCTCTCAGAACCTTTGCTCCGGGAAGCAGTCCTGTTGTGGGTAACCTATAGAGAGGTCCATGTGGCATGGAATTGATGACTGCAGTCAACATAGAGGCCCTGTGGCCTGCAACAGCCATCTGCCTGGCCCTGGAAGACCCTCACTCAGGCTGAGTCTGACAGAACTGTGTCTCGACGGCAGCTTATGGGAAGCCCTGATCCAGAGGACCCAAAAAAGCCGAACCTTACTCTTGACACATGGAACTACAAGAGAATAAATGTCTGTTTTTCTAAGCTGTCAAGTTTGGGGGTAATTTTTAGCTCAGTAATAGGTATACATGTATCATGTGCAGAAAGATTTGAAAGGAAGTCACTGTGAAAGGCAGGGAGAAACACCCATTCTCTGTTCATTTTATGTTGTCTCTGTGCGAAAGCAATGAAAATGCCAAGAGTGTGCCAGTGCCAGATTCAGAGTCCAGAGAGCTTCCCCAGGACAAGCAGGTTTATACATCTTCATGGCCAGTCTGCTTTAATCTGAGAGGAAGCAAGACGTCTATAAAAAGAACCACCAGGTGATGGCAATGATGACAATGCAAATGACAGTGATAGGCACTCCAATTTAAAGACTATATATTATGTGGCAGATGTTTTATTCATCCCATAAGTATTTATTTAGCTCCCCCCTGTATACTAGACTTGGTGCTAGGCACTAAGAATAGAGTGTAAAGAAAAACCAGATGTAAAACTCTGGCCTGTGGAGCTTACTATTTCTCCCTAGGGATCTCTCAGCAAGGGAAGTGGGGAAGACATGTGAATAAAAGATGAAATAAGGGTCACCTATAAGCAGTAGCTATGCCAACATCTGATTAAAGAAAGAAACATATTCCATTTCCCAAGTATAATCTCACAAATATGTGTCATTTATTGCATACCAGTCACCATGACTTCATTGGACCCTTACAACCTCTCCACCCTGTAATTGCCCATTCAACTAGGTCACCAGGATGGGTAGACCATCTTTTCATAACATGCCTCCCAACACCCACACTATCTCCTTCAGGGAGGACTACTTGACCCATGCAGATCTGGATGGCCATAGTTCTTTCTGTTCCCTCTTAACTGATTTAAAAATATCAACTTTTCCTGATGCAGGAAATGAATAGAAAATTATCATATACCAGCCAGCTCTTGTTTTTTGCAAATGCTAGGAAGGTAAGCAATTGCCCAAAAAATATCTCTTCTTAGGAAATGGGCATTTGGTATACAAGTGGCCAATCAAGCCGGCAACAAAACAAACTTGTTTGTCAGCCTCCCGGCCTCCATCTCATTTCCAAAGAATGAGTAATAATTAGGGTTTCAAACCTTTCATTGTAATAATGATGGGCAAGCAACGAGTTCCCTTTCTTAGGACTGTCAGGCAAAAATAGCAGAGAATGCCCAGCTGGAGTGGTGATCTACAGAGAAAATCTATTTGTTGCAAACCCCATTTATCATGGAAGCTTTGTTGCCACTAAAGTAACTACATCAGATTCCAAAAGGCCCTTGGTCTTGGTTAGAGACAAGGTTCACCCCAGCTGCAGCTGACAATTGAGGCCAACAAATAGTAAGCTCTGCCTGGCATCAAGGCTACAGGGGATGCACTTGTCAGAGTCCTCTAATTTGATGTTTTTCACCCTGTAGTGGGGTCACAGCTGCAAACCTTAGCATTCAATAAAAACACGAAATGTAGAGGGAGGAAACAGAAGTTGAAATTCTGTTAGCAGGCTTGGACTAGAAGGACAAGGGTACTATTAGGTCCCTGATCTGCATCCACACATGGCTCTAGGAGGAAATGCTTCTTCCCTGGTGATGTGGGTGAGGGCTTCTGACAGCATGTGTTCTCACACACCGGAAGATCCACTGCTTTGTTTAGCCAGCAGAATAAATAACTTGGCCAATATTTCAACAAGTGTTATTCAGCTGCACTTTCTTCCAAGGTCTCAAAACATTCACGTTTTGCCCTAGACAGTACCCTGCTGTTATTGAAAATATCTTCAGAATTCTTTTTTTTATTGTTTTAAGACTGTTATGATAACAAATATTTATTGAACACTTTCTATGTGCCAGGCACTGTCCACGGGCTACAGTAGTGAGCAGAACCAGATTAAAAACATCTTTACAGGGCCGGTGCCATGGCTCACTTGGTTAATCCTCCGCCTGCAGTGCCGGCATCCCATGTGGGCTCCGGGTTCTAGTCCTCATTGCTCCTCTTTAAGTCCAGTCTCTGCTGTGGCCCGGGAAGACAGTGGAGGATGGCCCAAGTGCTTGGGCCCCTGCACCCGCATGGGAGACCAGGAAAAAGCACCTGGCTCCTGGCTTCAGATTGGTGCAGTGCTGGCCATAGCAGCCATTTGGGGGGTGAGCCAATGGAAGAAAGACCTTTCTCTCTGTCTCTCTCTCTCACTGTCTAACTCTATCTGTCAAATGAAAAAAAAATCCTTATAAAAGTTTAAAGTCACAGCTCTCTTGGCCTGAACTGATGATTCCCATGGCATGCATTACAGAACTTCTATTCCTCGAAAGAGAAGAACACATTATACGAAAAATCTTGGTCTGAATAAATTTAGAAATCACAGAATTAAAAAAAAAGTAAAATATTGCAACTGCAGGACCTGGAAAAGCTTCAGGTGCATATCCCCCTAAGGAGAAGCACGTAATGAGATCCCTTACTCATGTTGGGCTCCAGTAACTCTGGTCAAGGAGCATCTCTAGTGTTCTGAAAACTACTAGACCAACCGCTAGGACTCCATGTGACCTGATCACTCACAGTAGCAGATCTAGGACACTTGCCTAGAACCCCACTGCCCAATCTGTGGTTCTCTTATTTGGCAGCCTGAGGTGACCAACACACACAGCTTGTAAGAGCTGAAGCCAAGATTCATTCCTTCTTTGACTGTCTATTATGTGCTGGTTACTGGGAATAAATTGATGACACTGACAAGCAGTATCATCATGGAGACAGTGACACAGCATATATGTTAAATTTCAACTCTGCAAGGTCAAGTGATGAGATAGGGATTGGTCTCATCTAAAAGATCAGGGAAAGCATTTCTGAAGAAATTACTCTTGGCCTGAAGGTGTAGGGAAGAGGACAGTTAAAGAGAAGGCTGATGCTCCAGATAGAAGGATTGGTGTTGCGACACAGTGGGCTAAGTTGCTATTTGGGACACCCACACCCCATATCAGTGTCTAGTTTGAATCCTAGCTCCTATGCTTCTGATCCAGTTTCCCACTAATGTACCTTGGAGGCAGCATATGATGGACCAAGAAACTGAGTTCCTGACATCCACTGGGGAGATCCAGATGGAGCTCCAGGCTCCTGGCTTCAGCAGCCCCAGCTGTTGAGGGCATCTGGGAAATGAACCAGCAGACTGTGCTGATCTAAATGCCTATGCCCTAATCCCTGAAATTTGCTTGTCTGACCTTATATGGCAAAACCAACAAATACAACTATCTCTGCTGATGTGACTAGATTAAGGATCATGAGATGGGGAGGATGACCTTAGATTATCCAAGTGGGCCCTAAATCAGAAGCGCTTCCTTTTTACAGAAGGGAGGAGGTTGATGACACACAATCCTAAGAGAAGGTGAGATGAAGACAGGGCAGAGGGGGATTTGAGATGCTTCACATCTGGAACGATGCAGCCACAATCCGAGGAATGATGAAAGAGGCTGGGAGAGGCAAGGACTGGGCTCTCCCCTCCAGCTTCTGGGTCATGAACCTCCAGCCTCTGGGGTGTGTGGTCTTGCTGACACCTGGACTTAGGACTTCTGCCCCTCAAAACTGTGAGAGAAGACATTTCTGTAGTTCTAGACCACCAAGTTTGTGGTAATTTGTAAAACTAGGCAGAGGAGGCTACTATATTAGATTAGTCCAAGATCAAGTTCAAAGTCCCAGGGAGCTATGGGAGGATGGCTTTGGTTGATGGCTGGTTTTAGGGAATGCCCAGCATCACATTTCCCTTCGTAAGACATCTGGACAATATCACTTCACCCAGTAGAAATCAGACTTAC